ACTCAGGGCCAAGGATACGAAGGCCAAGGACGAGGTAATCAAAGGCGAGGTGGACGTGGCCGAGGTAATCAAGGACGAGGTGGACGTGGCCGAGGTAATCAAGGATGAGGTGGACGTGGCCGAAGTGATCATGGAGAACGAGGTAATCATGAAGGTAGACAAGGACGAGGTAATCATAGCCAAGGAAGTCAACCAAAGTCGGAGGTGGAATGTTATAAGTGTGGCAAGCACGACCACTACGCAAAGGAATGCAGATCGGCAAATTGCTACAACTGTGGCAAATACGGTCACATAGCAAAGTATTGTCGAGCTGAAAGCCAAGGTGAAAAGAAAGAGAAGAACCTTCTCACAGAAGAAGAGGACGACGAAGTAGGAATTTTGATGATGACGCAGAGCTCGGAGACCAAGCTACGTCCGAGTTATGCCTCCGAGGTTGAACTAAACTTAAGTTGCGTGGAAAAGTCTGATGAGAAGTTAAAGTCCAAGCTTGATTCGGGTTGCTTAAACAACTCAGTCTGGTATTTGGACACTGGAGCGAGCAATCATATGTGTGGAGAAGAGAGTTTCTTTAATGAACTCACTGAGGTGAATGCTAGATTCGTGTCATTTGGGGATGATTCCAAGGTGGCTGTAAAAGGGCGTGGAACCATCAAGCATATGCAGAAAGATGGACGAGTTGGAGAAATAAGGGATGTCTACTACGTTCCCGAGCTTAAGAGCAACATATTAAGCATGGGACAGATGATAGAGAAAGGCAACTCGGTTCTGATGAAGGATCAAGTACTCTATTTGAAAGACAAGCATGATCGGTTAGTAGCCCGGGTAGAAATGAAGAAAAATCGAATGTATAAACTAGAGCTGAACATCCTGCAGAAAAGGTGTTTGAAGTTGGACGTGAAGGATGAAGCAATGATGTGACATTTTCGATTTGGGCACTTAAATTTTGGAGGCCTGGCCGAACTGTTAAGGAAGGAACTAGTACTTGGACTACATGGCGTAGAGTTTGAAAAGAAGTTTTGTGAAGAGTGTGTGCTCGGAAAACACCCGAGGACTAGTTTTCCGAATTTGACCAGGTACAGGACAGAAGAGCAACTCGACCTAATACACACCGACTTGTGTGGACCAATTTCTCCTAGTTCATTTAGTGGTAAGAAATATTTTATTTTATTCATAGACGACTTCTCTCAGAAAGCTTGGGTGTATTTCTTACAAGAAAAATCAAAAGCATTTGAGGTTTTTAAGAAATTCAAACTGATGGTGGAGAAAGAGATTAACAAACAGATTAAAGCAGTGCGATCTGACAGAGGAGGAGAATTCACATCAGCAAAGTTCATGGAGTATTGTGAAGAGCAAGGTATAAGACGTTTTCTCACAGTTCCATATTCACCACAACAGAACGGTGTGGCTGAAAGGAAGAATCGGACCATCCTTGATATGGTTCGAACCATGCTTAAAGGAAAGAACATGCCCAAGGAATTTTGGGCAGAGGCAGTGCAATGTGCTGTATATATACAGAACAGGTGCCCGCATTCCAAGCTAGATGGTGTGACACCGCAAGAAGCATGGAGTGGACGAAAGCCGAGTGTAAACCATTTCAAAGTCTTCGGAAGCTTGGCTTACGGTCATATCCCAGCCCAGCTCAAAACAAAACTTGATGACAAAAGCAAAAGGTATGTATTAATTGGGTATGATGAAAAGGCAAAAGCCTACAAACTGTATAATCTGGCTACAGGTAAAGTTTTGGTGAGTCGAGATGTCCAGGTAGATGAAGAGAGTGAATGGAGCTGGGATGACTCGAAGGAGAAGTCCTCTGGGAGCACGGTCTCTGAGAGAGAGAGCTCGGTAACAATTGAGAGGAACCCAGAAACCACAACTGAAAGGACGAACGAGTATTCTGAGGAAGACAATGAACCTGTACAACTCAAAACTCGGAGTTTGCAGGACATCTATAACTCCACTGATGAGGTACATGTAGTGTGTCTATTGACAGGTACAGAAGATGTCAAATTTGAAGAGGCCATACTCGATAAAAGATGGAAGAAAGCAATGGATGAGGAGATCAACTCAATTGAGAAAAATTAAACATGGGAGCTAACAGATTTACCCACAAGAGCTCGGCCAATTGGTTTGAAGTGGATATATAAAAAGAAAACCAATGCTAATAGGGAGGTGGAGCATTACAAAGCCCGACTCGTGGTGAAGGGCTACAGACAACAGAAAGGCATTGACTATGATGAGGTTTTTCCACCCGTAACAAGGATGGAAACGATCCGATTGTTATTTTCATTAGCAGCACAACACGAATGGAAGATACAGCAGATGGACGTGAAGTCTGCATTCTTGAATGGGATTCTGGAGGAGGTCTATGTGGAGCAACCTCTAGGCTACATGAGAAGAGGTGAAGAGAAGAAGGTATTGAAGCTTAAGAAGACACTATATGGGTTGAAGCAGGCTCCTCGAGCCTGGAATGAGAGAATAGACACCTGGTTCAAAAGGAATGGTTATGAGCAATGTCCGTATGAACATGCTCTGTATTTAAAAAAGTATAAAGGAAATACTTTGTGTATTGCTCTATACGTAGATGACCTAATATTTATGGGAAGTAAAGATGAGCTAGTTGAAGATTTTAAAGAAGTGATGAAGAGGGAGTTTGAGATGACCGATCTAGGCATTATGAAGTATTTTTTGGGTTTAGAGGTGGACCAAAGCACGACAAGTATTTTTGTGTCCCAAAAGAGGTATGCCGAGGAGATTTTAAGCAAGGCAAAGATGATGAAATGCAATCCAGTTTCTACTCCCATGAAACCTGGAACAAAGTTATCTAAAAATGGAGAAGGAGAAAAAGTTGATGCAAGCAGGTACCGAAACCTAATCGGAAGTCTAAGGTACTTGACAAGTACAAGACCTGACCTAATGCTAAGTGTGGGAATTACAAGTCGTTTTATGGAGGATCCGAGATATTCTCATTGGAAAGCATTAAAGAGGATACTAAGGTATGTGAAGGGAACGATGTCATTTGGACTGTGTTTCACTAAGTCAGACAACTATCGACTTACTGGATATTCGGACAGTGATTGGTGTGGAGATATGGATGATCGAAAAAGCACAGCTGGGTATGTATTCTTCATGGGAAACACGTCTTTCACGTGGTTATCAAAGAAACAACCAATTGTGGCTCTATCAATGTGTGAAGCCGAGTATGTAGCAGCATCTTGGAGTGTCCAACATGCAGTTTGGCTTAGAAACTTGCTAAGCAAATTGGAGATTATGAAAACTGAGAAAGTATTGATCCGAGTAGATAACAGGTCGGCAATCGAGTTAGCCAAGAATCCAATCAATCACGAAAGGAGTAAACACATCGATGTCCGTTTTCATTTCATCAGGGAGAAGGTGAAAGAAGGAACCGTGGAGCTTGAACATGTAGGAAGTAAAGAACAAATAACTGATATCTTTACAAAACCATTGTCCACAACAACATTTCAGGAGTTAAGGAAGTTACTCGGGATGAAAGAAGGAAATATTTATGCTTATGGGGGAGTTTTGTTAGATAATCTTAAATTACGAGGGTGGTTTCTTTAATTTAGTATGAATCTGTAGTTATTTGGTTAGTTTGTTTTGATGGGTTGCTGAGATATCGCAGTAAAATTTTGTTCCGCGGTTAGATATTTGTTAAGAGGTTATTTTCTTGTTAATCTGGTACATTGTACATGGTTATTTAAAGTCATCTCAGTCAAATAAAAACATATAGTGAGTTGCTACGTTCACACAATATATTAGTGTTTTTCGTCTTTTAGCTCTTACAGGTCTGGTGGTTGTAGGGATGTAACTTCCCGTAGAAGGTTAGGTTTAAGGCCCGAGAGGAAACACCTAAGGTAAAAACTTTTTGGGTAGTCAGAAATGCGGTTCGCTAGGGTCTCGAATTCGGAGAGATAATCTTGAAGGGTGGTGGTTTGGGTGAGTTTGCATAGAGATGCTATGGGATCGTCAAACTTGTATGGAGCAAACCTGAGCTCTAAAGCACGGAGAAAGGTGTCCCAAGATGAGAGTAAACCGTTGTTGGACATCCATTGGAACCATGCTAGAGCTTGGCCTTCAAGGTAGAAGGAGAAGATCTAAATTTGCTGGTCAGTGGGTGTTTGATGATAATAAAAAAATTGGTTGACTTTAAAGATCCAACCAAGTGCATCAGATCCATTGAAGGTGGGAAGGTCAAATTTGAAAGGTCTAAAGGGAGAAGGTGAGTGGTGGTGATGGGGTTCGGTCTCAACGATGGAGGTGCGGTTGGCAAGGTATTAGAAAGGATGGCATGAGAGAGGAGTAGTTGTTCAAGTTTAGTGTGCAATTTGGTGAGGTCATCATGAGGAAAGGAAGATTCGGCCATGGAGTAGGGGTCAATGAAAGCATCAAAATGTAAGGGTGCTGCAGCAGACAGAAGCGGAATAATAGGAAGAGAAAAGAATTTTCAGACGAAGGAATACTTTACTATTTTTCTCCCCTTTTTATTACATCACTGTGCTATATATGCACTTTGGCAACCGCCTTGTAGTAATCATAAGCAATTAATAGAAAGAAATACATGAAATATTTCTAATCATTCCTTCCTAACAGATTTCCCCTTTTTACGGGTATTTACGGGTAGTGGGACCAGTGACTACATAATCCTTGAGATAATGTGGTTGGCATGAGATTCTCTTTGTGCCCCTCTCGTAGTCTTCGTGTGAGATAGGCAGGGAAATAGAGTCTTCACTTAGGCTTGTGGAAGAAATAAGGGAAATGGGCCTAGTAGTCCTTCTAGATTACTTCTATTTTTCATTTTCTGTTTTTACTTAATTACCAAACTACAGTTTTGTTTTAAATATATTTCCTATTTTAAGAGTTGTGGAGAAAACAATGTTATTTCAGTATTTTCTGTACGAATATTTGAAAACAGGAAATAAAGTCAAAAGATGATAGTTTTATAATTAAAAAGTGAAAACAGTAAATGAAATCAGGAAATAAAAATGGAAGTAAACAGGCCGTTAGTGTTTTTGCTCCTATAATTCTGAAAAGATACATAATATTAAATGTATGGTTTGAGTTGGTTTTCATGTTCTGTTCTGAATCACGACCAATGCATGGCACATTACTGAGACTTCATATCATAAGACACCAGAAGTACTATTGGGTTTCTGACTATTTTTTTTAATGGAGCATTTCAGAAAATTGACTTCATATGTTTGTCTTACGAAATTATTTCAGCTTGACAACGTTAGTTCTGGTGAATATTCTGTCCATGTTGGCATGAGTAGTCTAGCTTCTAACCATGAAGCAAACATAGAGAAAAAGGAGAGTATCATTCAAGAAGATTTCTGGGCAGTGGAGACATCCTCTTGTGACTCGACTGCAGATGAACCTGCTGAAATTTCTTGCTCTTCTTCCACCCAAACACAGAGGAAGGTTTCAAACAATGCAGTATCCCATGTTGAGGTGAGAAAACATAGCAGCTGTGTTAGAAAAATTGATTTTTTTTTAACCAAGTAGGAAGATGCTTCATTTGAAGTGATTTTCATTCTGACATTCTATTGGTAATACGGTGCTGCATGTGATCTATTCTGCAGGGTCGGAAGGAATTTGCCACTATGAAATCAGAGAACCAGAAAAATGCTCAAAATACTTGTTCCAAAGGGATCCTCAAAATCAGAAGCCAGCAATCGTCTAATGTCAATAACAAAGCTTCTTTCTTTTACATGGAAACGACTTCATCAAACCAAAACCTATTTCCACGTTCAGTATATCTTGTCAATGTTGTCATAGGGATTTTACTGTTAATAGTCATTAGCTGGGATGTATTATTATGTTAGGACCTAGAAGTACAGGTAATGTGTTGGAAGGGCCGAGGAGGAGTGCCATGATTCCTTTTCATACAGTTCAGTTACATGGCAAGGTTATTATAAGATCTGTAAGGTGTATAGTTCACATGTATATTGAACTCATGCATGCTGATTGCATCTTTCTTATCATAATGAAATATCTCTGCTAACTATTTGTTGCCTTTTCAATAATCATTAATTGCATTGCAATCTTGACATCTGTGTAATTAAAATATGGAGTATACCTAAAGTTGTTGTCTAAAGATTTACAATAAGGATTTTTATTTACCAAAATAGTTACCAAGTTTGTGTTTGTCTCCATTGTTGACATTTATTTGGAAGACCAATTCAGAGGTTTACTCCTTAAATCTGTAATAACATAAACCTTAATGCTAAACAAATTTATTTTGTTTAATGAATTTTAAACAATTCTATCGAAATGAACTTTCTGATTTGTAACTAATCAACTTGCTGGTTCTTAAAGGCAGTGTCAAGTTGTATAGACAACATATCTTAATAAGCATCAGGAATAATTTTTTTTATCAATGAAGACCTTCAAGCAAATCATCTCAAAAAATGATTAAAAATGAACACTATCTGGAGTTTTAGTAAGATGATACTCTTTTGTCCATTCGACATATGCAGCGACAAGTTCCTAATATGCCTAATTACAAAATTTCACATAGAAGAACTTAATCTAAACCATGATTAAAAAGAAGGAAATAGCAAGTGGATATGGAAATTTAAGCCATCCAAAGTTTCGTTTATGTATTCAGCATTTTAGGATACAACAGGTTGATACAATCTGTCAAACAAGTTGGTATTGGCTGTCACACCATGCCACAGTAGAACGTTGCCTGGCTAAGTGTAGAAGGCTTCATATTTACTGTATAACAATAAGTTTAAACTAGACAGGGATTGAGACCGTAATTATTGATATTTCGTTATAAGTCGCATCGTCGTAAGACCATGTGAAGTTTGCCTATGAAATTCTTGAAATTTCAGAAGTAGTAAAGTCTTTGGCTGCATTACAATACCTCAACTCTTTTACAGGATCACACTTTACATCTTAGATGAGAAGAAACCTACCAATTCCATTACTTAGTACTGACTATAGAAAGGGAAATGCTGAGAATTAGTAAAAGATTAAAGTGAAATGAAAATCCCTTTCTGTATTGCAGACAATAGTTTGGAGTGTGAACAGGAAACATCCTATTTTAAAAATCCCATTTGTATTTTGCCTGTTCCTTTTTTATTTTGTAGGTAATATTTTGTGACCAAAGTTATTACATGGAGTCAAACTTGAGCATGAATCACACACAATTGATCAGTGAGTTAAAAAAATATTACATAATATTCAACTTAAAATATACGAACAGTGTAACTCCATCTCACACTTATTCCAATATAATCGAATAAAGGATAAATTACTCTCATTGTAACTTATCTATTTTCTTTCTTATCTTCTTCTCAAACTCGGAAAACAAGGTCATTTCTGTATATTCTGAGATTCTACACCCATTTTCACGCCCCCCAAAAGTCAAGGAGATAAAAGAATAAATGAGTAGCTAACATGAAACAGTTAAGTTAGGAGTTGGAAGTTAGCATGACTACTCAGATATTGGAAAAGTATATCAGACTTTGTAATCATGGGTGTGCTAAGTAGTGGGGGACATAACAAACCACCAAAAGCAAGCAAAAGATGCATAGAAATTGAAATGGTGGGCCAAGGAAGAAACTTGGCGATCAAGGAGACTAAAGAAACTATATTTCATCTTCAATCACTTTAACAAAATAACGAGTGGAATTTACATTTAATAAAAAGCTTCGTTTGAGAGGCAATAGTGTTAGTGATAGAGACCCATAACAGCTTATACATAAAGAATGAGAAAGTATGTTAAATAAATTCCTCTGCTTTTCGTAGAAGGTGACAATGTGTTGAATGAAGAAGAAGATTCTAGTTCTAACGCGGTATTGCACCCAATTAAAAAAAATGTTATCATTTAAGTTATAAGACAATAAATTACGTTAATTTGTAAGTTTTATGCGATGAATTACGCTCATGTACTATAATTATCACCATTGGATAATTTAGGTATAAATTTCACAACTTTAATTACGAATACCCCCACATATTTAGACAGTATTAGTTGTCCATCCAATTAATATTTGATTGATATATAACGTTCTTGCGTGTATATTCTAATTTAGTTTCACATTTTAGTCTATCATTGGAAAAAAAAATTAATGTGAGTTAATTTTATATGTAATATAAGATTAAGTCTTAAAATTAATTTATGTATAAAATAATTGGTAAAACTTATTTTATATAATTAAAAAAATATTTTTAATTATATATACGTTAATTTTGACTTAAAAATAATTGTTTTATTTATTTTATAAATCTTTATAAAAATAAAAAATAAAAAAACTCATCCAAAGAACCGGGACAGTGAACAACATTATAGGAAAATCATTGGGTTGGAAATGACTATGCAAGATTTTGTTGTACTTAATTATCAGACATAAATTGCACAAAAAAAATTAATAGTCATAAATGAAAGTGACGCATTAAATGTATAGAAGTGATTTAAAGGAGAAATTATTGCGTGATTTAAAGGATCTTCATCGTTCATACTAGTTTTCAAATAATCAATTTGTTATTTTTTTCTCAGCAATTAAACAAGTTAAATATATTTCACAAAAATTTGGTCAAAACTACACATAATAATGATGATTATGTACTATCTAATAATTTTTCAATGAGATAATATATATATATATATATATACACCCTTCAAAATCCAATAGTTTTTCCTTGTTTTTATTTTCGTATTTTCCTATGGTAACTTGTTAGAGAAGGAGTCAATGTCTTCGCACTATAAAATGAAGAGAGACCGAAGCCACGACACGACACACACACCAACTCAAATTCTCCTTCATCTCTTACCTTTCTTTGTTTATTTGATTCTTTGAAACTACAAACAGAGTTCAGTGTTTACCAAAATCAATGGACATTGTTGGTGTAGGTTTCCGTCCTTCAGAAGACGAACTTGTCGACTACTACCTCAAACACAAGTTGCTCGGTGATGATTCCCGTGTCCACCTCATCCCTGTTATTGATCTCTGCGATGTGGAACCTTCGGATGTACCAGGTAATTGTCTAAACACCGAAGTACTAAACACCCCTTTGTTATGTTTGTTCCTCTCATCTTTACTTCACTGTTGTTTGATTCTTTTCTTGTTTCAAATAGTGATGCTTGCAAGATCACATATACGATTTGGTGACCCAGACTGGTTTTTCTTCAGTCCTGTTGATTTCAAGTATTCAAACAGTAAAAGGGTTAACAGGAAAACCAAGTGTGGCTTCTGGAAAGCCACTGGAAAAGACCGTGACATTAGGAGCTGGGACACCAACACTCGCATTGCCACAAAGAAGACTCTTGTTTACTATAAAGGCAGTGTTTCCTCTGGTGTCAAGTCCTACTGGGTTATTCACGAATATCATGCTGTTACCTTTCATGAAAGCAAGGTTTGTTTTTTCAAGATATTCTTAAAAACAATTCTGCTGGATTATTATGTCACTATAGTACATACTTTTTAGGCTTTGGTAATTGCTCTGGATTCTTAGCTTGAATCCCATGTTGTTATGTCACACTCCATTCATCGCCCAATTTTCTTTACTTGGCCTTTCTTTATGCCAAAGGGGGCATGGAGGAGCTTATTTGTGCCTGTAAAATTGACTTATCACCTTTCTATTAGCTCTTCTTAGCTTATTTAAATAAGTTTTACTTGGAAGCTTATCAAAACAAACAAGATCCTTTTAGATTATTCGAATGAGCACCTGCATTGGATAAGTTCTCTCGTACACCTGCTTATCTTTTAAGAATTTAATTAAATCTTTTATCTAAGCACGCTAAAAATTCATCATCAGTTTTCTTCGAAGGCTGTCAATTTCTTCTGTATACCATAGCCTGAATTTTGTTGGTTTTTTGAATGAACTGTATCAAATGAATGCTGATTGTGCTCAAAATTTGGCAGAGGACTTTTGTTTTATGCCGTTTGATGAAGAAACCTAGGAAAATAATTGAAGGGGGAACTAATGCACTAATCTGTGATGAAGGAGAACCCAGTAAACTCAAGGTTCCTGACTACGAAAATAAGGCAACAACAGAAGGAATTTCATCTGTAAGACGAAGCATCTTGTTGGACATGTGCACAGTCTGCCATGTAAAACATGCTGAGAACTGATACTTGTTTCATACATATATTTTTTCAGGGAGGTACTTTTACCGGGGTGGAAACAATCTCTCAGGCTACGCAGCAGGCAGAGACATTCATCTCCTCAATACAACAGTCTCCAGCTGGTATTGAGCAGGAAGAAGCATCTTTTGCAAACTATCCAATTGACGATGCCTATTTTAAAAATGAAGATAACTTCATTCAAATTCCATCAGAAATTACGGCTGAAGATGAATTCTTAAATTCACTTTTAGCCGATGAAAATAATATATTTACTTCTATTTATAACACCACTCAACCAAAATTATTTAAAAGAATATTTTATGAAGATAGTGATCCAGATGTCACCAAAGACATGTCCACACAGGTATAAATATCTTAAAGTGTTAAAGTCCAAATAATATGGGGGGTGTATTTCTATTTGTCTCTGATCTAACTTTGGTTCTATAGATTAAAATTGCAGTGTGCATTGTGGTGATATGAATTTTGCCACATTTTTTTCAATGTTAAGTCATTTTCTCTTATATATTCTTAAAGACACTCTAGTGAAATGTATGGTTTGAGTTAGGTGTTTTGTTGTGATTCATAATTGGTTGAACATTACTATGAGTTTAGAGCATCATTGGTTGAAGGCAAGTTGGGAAAGGGAAGGAAATTGAGGCAAAACAATCTATTTCTGCACCCAATTTTACCCTTCCATGCATCTATCCCAACAGAAACTCTACGATTTCAAATATATATTTTTGGGGGGCTTTTGATATTACTTATATTTATTCTATTCACTTCAAAAGTTAAATTCATATGTTAATTTCATTTGAAATTATTACAGGATGATAATACTGGGGATATTTTAGGATGGAGTAATAAATATTCTATTTCACACGGATACCATTCATCAAAAAGGTTGAAATCTTCACAAGATGTAGTTGATGACATATGTTTTTCATCGTCTGATTGGGAGACAAACCAAGAAATAAAAGAGAGTATGTTAGGAGACGAATTCTCGGGAATGGAGTCATCCTATTGTGACTCAACTGCAGATTAGAGATTGCAAGTCATGCACCTGTGAATAGACTTCAGAGTAGAGATTGATATGTACACGATAAATATATCTTTGAAGTTTTGTATTAGGATTTAATAATATCAAATTTATTGTAAGACTTTCTAAACCTTTCGGAGTTATGCATATTAACACTCATATTTATCATAATTTTTCATTGGTTGTTCATAATTAAACTCTTATGTATTAGTATGTGTGTAGTCACCTGTGGACAGAATACTCTCTGATATAGAAAGTGTGTAAGTGTATCAATATGTTGAGTGCAATTTCAGAGTTGAATTATATATTTTATTAGATTTTGTAGTGTGAGAAGGAAGCATAAATTTATGATGAAGAAAGCTATCTCCCCCTATTAAGTGAAAAAGGATTGATGAGACAGTTATTTTCATCTTACTCATACTCAGCTTACCGTTGTTTCTCTGCAGCAAGCTTGCCTATAGGAAGCATTAGATTCTAAGAGAAATATATGCAAAGGCCATAAAAAAATCCCTTAAGGATCCCATTTGTATTTTATATATGGAATCAACTATATGCAGATTTTCTGCTAACAGTGTTGATGAGCTCTGGCCAATTTTTCGAGCAAGGGGAGTGAAAATTTGATGAAGATTTTAGTTGCAGTAAAAATTGCTTAACCTGTACAGAAATCTATATATTCATTCAGGGTAGTTTTTCCTCTCAACATGCAAGTCTATCTTTTTATCTACTTTGAGATGATTGAGAAGGGAAAATCCATAACAACTACCATTTAAAAATGCACCCCTAGGGACAAATAACAAATCATCATTAAAATATGCACCCTAGGGACAAATACAATGACTTGGATTGGTGGGGGCAGGAAAAAAAACAGAGAAAAGAAATTGACTCAGAAGATTCTATATTCTGTAGTAAGTAAATGAAAAAAGGACAATGGATTCAGATGGTAGGGTCTGCCAAACCTTGGGAGAGCAAATCACAAAGTGTGATTCTTTCTTTCTTTGATGAAGAGTTCTTTTTAATATACTTTTAAATTATCACTTTATGTTACCTTGTTTTACATTGCGGATTAATGGTGTGTTACGGAAACAGTATCAAATTTTAATTCTCTACAGGAATAAAAAGATTATGTTTATCAATTTTTATTTAAAATAAATAAATTCCGTTTGGTTTGGAAAATTAAAATTCACTATCAAAATTAAATATTTGAAACAGAAGAAGTCATGTCGAGAAAGAATATCCACAGAATGCGGTATAGATGATTAAATAAACAACAAAAGAAAATTGTTGGTTTACAGTGACTTAAGCGGGTCCAAAGTTCCATTCTTCAGTTGGGCCATGTATTAAGGCGAGGCAGTTCATGGGTGTTCCATAGAGAGGAAGAGAGATCTGAGTAGTGGCTGCGAGGAATGGTGCACAAAAAGTCAAATCATCCATCGATAACTTCACGAAGCGGAGCCTGTCGTAATTGGAGCGTCCACAGCTTTTAGCGGGATGCCGAGTTCGACGAGTGTGGGTACGAATGGTAGGTAATTCAGCAGTTGGAACTTCTGCGGATGATCTTCCTTCATTTTGAGTTCCCTCCGCGTAAGTTGGAACCATGGAATGAGTTTGAAACTATCCAAATTCCTGGATAGTGTAACAATTACAGCAAGTGAGACTAGTAAAAAAAAAGAAGCAGAAGACCAATAGAATTTCTTATTTATATTTTATTTTATAAGGCTAGAGTACCTAGTACGCACAATCTTCTAATTGCCTACTCTGCTTTCAAATTATGAAAACGAAAAATGTAAATGTAAAAAAACCCTATATATTTTGCATTGTAGGTTAAAAAAAAAAAGATAGAGAAAGATGAGCAGATAGAATCACAAATGTAATAAATTATTAAACTTTACAACTTCTAAATTTTTAGTTTTATTTTCTTACATATCATGTTGTTGTTCACATGATAGGCTAACAAATATCTATCACTTGACCGTACAACATAGTTTCCTATGTTTTTGGTTTTTGTATTTTCCGAGGATAACTTGTTAGCTAAGGAGTCAACGTCTTTTTTGCACTATAAATGAACAACAAAACACAAACACCGAAAACATTCACTCGCTTTCTTCATTCTCCTTTGCTAGTTGCTTATTCACCACCTTTCCCTCCCCTTCTTCCTATTATTGTTGCAAAACTACAAAGCTAAGTGTTCACCAAAACCAATGGAGATTATAGGATTCGGTTTCCGTCCCACAGAAGAAGAACTTGTCGACTATTATCTCAAACATAGGTTGATCGGTGATGATCCACGCGTCCACCTCATCCCCGACATTGACCTTTGTGAAGTGGAACCTTGGGACGTACCAAGTAAGAATCTAAACAATGAATACTCCATGCAACCGACATTTGTTCTTTTTCTTGCTCTTATCTTTACTTCATTGTTGTCTGATTGTTTTTTTCTTGTTTCAAATAGTGTTATTAGCGGAATCAGCTGTACATTTCAATCTCCCAGAATGGTTTTTCTTCAGTCCTGTTGATTTCAAGTATTCAAATAGTAAAAGGGTTAACAGGACAACCAAGTGTGGCTTCTGGAAACCCACTGGAAAAGATCGTGACATTAGGAGCTTGGACACCAACACTCTCCTTGCCACAAAGAAGACTCTTGTTTACTATAAAGGTCGTATTTCCCGTGGTGTCAAGTCCAACTGGGTTATTCATGAGTACCATGCTGTTACCTTTCATGAAAGTCAGGTTGGCATATGTTTTGAAGTATTTTAACACTGATTGGAAATAATGTTTCTTCTAGTTTTTTTTATAGCATTTGACATCAATGGACTATTTTTATACCAGAGTAAAAACAGTTAATTTAGGTCTAAACTTGGTCTTGCATTCCTATAACCTCATATTTTATTTCATTAAGTTTGCATAGAAGCATATCAAAACAATATCTTTTTTGTTTATTCCGACATGCTTGGATAAAGGGTATGGATAAGCTCTCATATGACTTACTGGATAAAAGGTTTAGGTAATTGTTTTATCTGACCACATTCAAAATTCATTACCAGTTTTCATTTCATCCAAGACTGTCAATGTCTGCTGTACAATTCTTTCTTAGAAAGTGAACGATATTTTTGCAGTGTAACTATTTTGTTGTGAATAGAATTGTTCAGGGAATAAGTTTCAGATTTGGAAGCATTAACCTGACTAGTCTTGGCCTTTCATTTGTGCGAATCATATCAAATATGCTGATTATCATCTTGCAGAGGACTTTTGTTTTATGTCGCCTGATGAAGAAACCTGAGAAAACAACTGAAAATGGAAGTGATGCACTGACATGTGATGAAGGGGAGCCCAGTAGAATCATGGTTTCTGGCTATGAAAATCAGGCAATAGCAGAAGGAATTCCATCAGTAAGCTGAAGCATCCTTCACCAACATATTTACACTCTACTACCATGTGAAACATGCTGAGAATTGATACTAGTTTTGTGTGTGTCTGTGTGTGTGTGTGTGTATATATATATATATATATATATATATATATTCAGGGAGGTACTTTTAATGGAATAGAGACTACCTTTCAGCCTATGCATCAAGCAGAGAATTACTTCTTCTCCCCACTACAACAGTCTCCAATTGGTATTGAGCAAGAAGAAGCGTCTTTTCCAAACTCCCCATTTTACAATGCCCATTTTAGAAATGAAAAGAAGACTATACAGATTCCATTTGAAACTACACAGGAAGATGAATTCTTGAATTCCATTTTAGTGGACGATAATTTTGATAACAATGAAGAAAGTATACAGACCTATCTCAATAGTTCCACCCAATCGGAGTCGTTTAGAAAAGTATACTGTGAAAGTAGTGATACGGATTCTGAAGCGGTCTCTCAACTGCAAAAGATATATTGTCCAAATATTCAATAATATAGGAAGCATCTCCATTTGTGTCTGAACTGTACTATTGGTTTAATAAGTTAAAATCTTAAATTTGCAGTGTGCATTGGGGTGATGTGAATTTTTCTGTGTTTAGCGATTTCTCTTTTAGATTCTGAAAGGACACTCAAGTGAAATGTCTGGGTTGAGTTGGTTTTGATGTTTTCTTTTGAGTTATGATCGATTTGTGGAACATTACTAATACTTTAGAGCATACTTGGATGAAAGGAAAAGTTGGCACACGGAAGGAAATGGTGATAAAGAAGTCCAATTTTTTTTTTTACCTAGTTTTACCCTTCCTTGCATTCCTTTCCCAACATAGACCCTAGGACGCCAAAACTACTATTTTTTTCTTGGGTTTGTTATATTTTATTTCATGAAAGATGGATTCATCTGTTTATTTCTTTCTGAGATGATTGCAGGACGATAATATTGTGAACATTTGAACAGTGTGTAGTAAATATCCTGATTCAGACGAATAAAGGTTTGATTCTGAATTTTCAGATGTTGATGTCCATGATGACATATGCATTCTATCTTCCAACCATGAAACAAACCAAGAGAAAAAAGAGTATATTTTCTCTAATAATCGCAGAGGGGTTTCAAACAATGCAGTAGTCCTTGTAGAGGTGAGAAAATCAAGCAGTTGCATTAGAAAAGTGAAGATTCTTTGTTGACGAAGGAGGCATATGCTTCCTTTTAAGTGATTTTCATTTTAACATACTATTGACATACCATGCTGCATGTGATGTATTCTGGAAGCTCAGAAGGATTTTCTCATTGTGAATTCCGAAAAATGTTCAAAATACTAGTTCATGAGTCCGGAAAATTAGATTAAATGAAATCTTATTTTTTCTTTTAATACAAAAAGATCATATAAGATATATCCAAGAGATTTAAGCTATTTTAGGAAATATAATAACTCTACTTTATTCTAGGATCCCTTGATTTATTTATGGGATTGTTCCTAATTGTTCAAATATGTACAGATTACAAATTTCCTAATTTATTCTTTCCTAAAATACTATTTGATTTCCCACACTCCCCTTCAAGCTGGTGAATAGGTGTTTTTCATTCTCAACTTGGATAAAATCTTCTCAAAATTGTGGCAGCTCAGTCCTTTGGTAAGAATGTCTACAATTTGGTCTTAAAGAGGACACATATGGAGTGCATATCAAGCCATTATCAAACTTTTCTTTGATAAAGTGTCTGTCTACTTCAATATGCTTTGTTTTATCACGTTGCACTGAGTTGTGGACTATGCTAATTGCTGACTTATTATCACAATAGAGCTTCATAGGTTCTTCCCATTTTATCCTCAAGTCTTCTAAGATGATTTTAAATCATAGCAACTCACATATACCTTGTGTCATGGCTCGGAATTCCGCTTCAGCACTGGACCGAACCACTACACCCTGCTTTTTGCGACAAATATATAAGTCTACCCACTAATTGCTAGTACATATCTTTTTCAACAGCAACATCTTCTTCTGCATTTCCAAGCTTTAGGTTTGGTTCTAATGGGGTACTAGCATATTTGCAAGCTGCCTTATCAGTTTCCTTAAGCAAATCAGTGATGTATTTCTGCTAGGATATAAATATCCCTTTCTTGGAGTGGGCAACTTCAATTCCCAAAAAATATTTTAGTTTTCCCAAGGTCTTGATCTCAAATTCCTTGCCTAAGCATTGACTCAACAATTGTTGCTCTTCTTTATTATCTCCAGGCAATATTATGTCATCCACATACACCAATAATATTATTACTCCCCCTGACTTGGAATGTTTAAAGAACAAAGTATGGTCCCCTTGACTTTGTTTGTAACCCAGACCTGTCATAACTTTAGTAAACCTGCCAAACCATGCACGGGGGGACTGTTTTAGCCTATATAATGTCTTTTTCAACTTGCAAACAATGTTGGCAACAACATCTCTACCATATCCCGGAGGTATCTCCATATAAATTTCTTCTTCAAGGTCTCTATGTAGGAAAGCATTCTTAACATCAAATTATTCCAAGTTCCAACCATAATTGCCAGCAAGGGACAATATCACCCTAACTGTGTTCATTTTGGCAACCGGAGCAAAGGTCTCCAAATAATCAACTCCATAGGTTTGGGTGAACCCTTTGGCAACTAGTTTTACCTTATATCTCTCAATTGATCCATCAGTCTTGTATTTCACTGTATAGACCCACTTACATTCAACTGGCCTCTTTCCTATTGGTAAGGTGACTAACTCCCAGGTGTTGTTCTTCTCTAATGTCTCCATCTCTACATCCATGACTTGCCTCCATTTTTTATCAGACAATGCCTCAGATAGGGTATTAGGTAGAAGTACAGTGTTTAGGTTTACTAGGAAGGTTTTATGGGTAGGAGAGAAATTTTTAAAAGACAGGTAATTTGAGAGAGAGTAGAGTGGTTGTTTGGTACATTTTCTTGTCCTTTTTCTAATGGCAATTGGGAGGTCAGGATCATTTTGGGTTTCAATTTCAACCTGTACAATTGGAGAAAAAATTGTTACCTCTTCTTATGGAGTCGAGTTGGATTCTTGAACATGGCTAGATCTTGGAATGACCTTAGTCTTCCTTAAGTACACCAACTTCTTACCAAATTTTTCAGCTTCAACATCTTCTTGATCAGCTTCACAATTAATTTCACTTTCTTGACCAACTTCATTTTCTTGACCAATTCCTTGACTTGTTTCACTTGTTATAGCTTCAATTTGATCTCGTTTAGGTTCAAATATCAAGTCTGGAAGAATGGGAAAACCAGAATTACTACTTTCCTTATCTTTCTTATCTTCCCTGAAACTTTCCCCGTGAAGATAAGGTTGATGGAAATAGCCCTCTTGTTCATTGAAGGTAACATCCCTAGACACAAAGAATTTTTTGGATGGGGGGTGGTAGAATTTATACCCTTTCTGAGTGGGTGAGTAACCAACAAAGACACACTTTAAGGCTCTAGGATCAAGTTTCTCCCTGTTTGTACTATAAATATGGACATATGAGATGCACCCAAAAACTCTTGGTTTAAGATTATTTGTAGTGGACAGGTTTGGATAGAAAGACGATAAAGCTTCCATAGTGCTTTTTGATCCTAAGACTCTAGAGGGTAGTCTATTGATAAAGTATGTTGTTGTAAGGACAACTTCCCCCTAGAAATTTTTTGGAACAACAATGCTCGAGTCTGATTTAATAGATGTCCATTTTTCCTCTCTGCGACCCCATTCTGCTGTGGTATTTTGACACAAGAAGGATTCATGAATTATACCTTCTTTTTGACAAAAAGAATTAAGGACATGATTGAAGTAATATTTGGCATTATCTGACCTAAGCCTCTTAATATTGTCACCAAACTGATTTTTTATCAAGGAGTAAAAGTTTAGGAAGACAGAATTGACTTCTGATTTTTGTTTAAGTAGGAAAACATAAGTGACCCTTGTACAGCCATCTATAAAGGTGACAAACCATCAAACACCACACACATTTGGAACATTAGAAGGTCCCCATACATCAGTATGAACAAGATAAAAAGAAAAATTGTTAATTTTATTACTTATTGGAAAAGATACACGCTTGTGCTTAGCAAGTTCACACACCTCACAATGAAGACTCTCACCATCTAACTTGGTAAACAAAGAGGGAAACATAATTTTGATCACTCCAAAAGAGGGATGTCCCAACCGACAATGATAAAGTATGATTTTTTCTTTGTTGGTCATCAAGGATTCAGATATGAAGGAGTGAGAGATTCTATTCTTGTTGGACAAACTTGGATCTTTGAGATAATAAAGGTCATTCCATTCTCTAGCATGTTCAATCATCCTCCCCGAATCCTTGTTCTGAAATATACAATGATAGTTGAAAAAAACAACTTTATATGACAAATCTTTTATAAGCTTTTGTATAAACACTAGGTTGGTTGGACAACTTTGGGACATGGATAACATCTTTTAAAGTTATTAACGGATTAATTTAGATATTTCCTTGACCAGTTATAGTTATAAGGGTTCCATCTGTTGTGGCAATTTTCTTGTTGCTAGGACATGAGGAATATGTGGAGAAGTGTTTGGCTAATGGTGTCATGTGGTCTGTGGCTCTAGAGTCCAATATCTAATAATGGTTAAAAGGTGTATTTGAGACATTTAATCCAAAAGAAAGTTGAAACTTACCTGACTATGTCAAATAACACACACCTATAGGTTTTTCTAGCTTACTAAGAAAGGTTGTCACCCTTTCTATCTCCTCTTGGTTAAGATGGGCAACAGCTTCTGGATTATTTCCTTAATATGTTTCAGCAGCAACATAAACTTATCCTCCTTTCCTTAAGGAGCCTCCTCTGTGTCCCCCTTCTCGATCTTTATTTAAAGGTTTCTCATGTAACTTCCAACACTTCTCTCGAGTATGATGAGGCTTATTGCAGTAGGTACACCAGAGATCATCAACTTTCTTCTCCATATTTGTTGATCCTCCTTTCTTCTGTTCGGTTACCTCCTTTCTATTCAACACTGTACGAACAAGTTGGGTCCACTTTAAATAATTTCTTCCATTTAGTCTATTTGCAGAATGGATATTCTGCAGTTTTCCATATTGTTGGGATTGGATATTCTCCGTTTCTGGGGTTGGGTTCACAACTTCCTCTTCCCTTGACATTATAGCAAGAAGGTGCGATGCAACAGCAATGCAGACTATCGTCTTAGGGTTAAGAAAAATGCAGCAACAATGCAGACTGCCGTCTTAGGGTTAAGAAAAATGCAGCAACAATACAAGCTACCGTCTTAGGGTTTATAGTACGCAGACAGAACTTCCTAGATCGGAAACTTTGATACCCTCTGGAAAATTAAATTAAATGATCTTATTTTTTCTTTTAATACAAAGAGATCATATAAGATATATACAGGAGACCTAAGCTATTTTAGGAAATATAATTAACTCTACTTTATTCTAGGATCTTTTCATTTATGATATTGTTCCTAATTGTTCAAATCTATAC